TATTCTGATATCATTGTCATAAAACTTGAAAGAGTCAGACCCCAAGAGTTAGTCATTGAAGTTGGAGAACCTAATCCTATATAACTACACAAGAGAAGCACATGCTTTCGATGTAGGATTTAGGTGTCCATACATCCCAATGGGAATCATAACAATATGGAGAGACTTTAAGAGTGAAACAATGGAACTTTAGAAAGTCTTGGCCACCAGGAAAACAGTCTACGTATATAAGTCAGAAGAATTTTTTGGATATGAAGTGAAGAAAAAAAAGAAATAACTTTGCTGACCGGTGCCAGAGACCTTTGCCGAGGGAAATTGGAGCCAGGGATTGGAAAAGTTGACTGCTTGAGAGAGATCATCGTATAAAGACAGGAAAGTTGAAGCAAAAATCAGAATGAGAGGATTGACCTCAAGAGATCGCTGGTTGTTCACGGCTTATCTTCTCTATGTGAAAAGAACCCGAACAACATGCCTATGAGAGTTTGCAGCTTTTCGTATAAATTAATGCAAATTTGTTAACAAAATAAAACAGCAAATTACAGAAATATAGAATTAGGGGCTTTGAAATTTCAGTTGCACAAGGGGACTATACGTGATTTTCATGAGAAAGATGATGTTCTGGACGACCTTACCGAGGTGCAGAACGATGGCACTGCTCAACCTAAATACCAAAGGATAATACTAAAACACATTGACTTTTAGTCTCAGTCTTGCTGCCGCCGTAAATTACATTGAAACCTCCAAATAAATAAAACCTATAATTTAAGGCCGTGTCTTCGTACTTATTTTTAATAACACAATCTCATGATAAAATAATTTTATTCGTAAATTCATAATGTTATTTTCCCCTTTTTAATAACACATTCTTCAGCGAATAAATTTTCACGTAGAAATCTTTATCAAATAGGCGTTAAATGTAACAGGTCCCCAACTTTTTCCTAATTATGTATTTATGTCCCCACTTTTTCAATGTTTTTATCATTAACCATTAATTAGTAATTATCATGTACCGTGTTTCTGATGATGGTTTTTTATTTAAATATTTGATTAGCGTGCTTTGAAATGAGACATAAATATTTTGTCAAAGTTATATACTTGTTTTTCTATTTAAAAATATAATGACCAAATAAATCTTCTTATGCTCTTACAGGGGCGGATCCAGCATCTGGCGAGCACCTGCGGCCGCCCGTGCTGGATCCGCCGGAATGTTCAGCACCGTCGGGCACTGGAGGTTTGCAGACTTACAGTTTGTAGAGATGAAGGAAGAGGAAAAGAAAGAAGATGACCGATTTTTCTTTTTTCTTTTTTTTTTTTTTGTTTGGGCTGCTGACAATTGACATGGGCCTCTTTTGTTTAAAATCATTAGGCCCAAATCAATTAATCATGGTCCATGGTTTTTTTCCCAAATCAAGTCCAAATCCAATACTCCAATCCAATTTCAAATTCGTAAAAGGGAAACCTGAGGCTGAAGCTGAAGGTTGAAAGCTTGAAACCAATCGCAAACCCTTCTCCAATTCCATAATTTCCATTCGAAGCAAAAGACTAGCTGCGCTTGTGATTTGTGCAAAGTTCGAACTGCGAATGATGGTCATTGCTTTGCTGCTGCTAACGCAACGCCATGGGCGAGGCGCCGAGGAAGAGGATAAGGAGTCATCATCAACGACGTCTTTCTTCGAGCAGCCTACAGGTGATTGGTGAGCATGCATTTCTCTTATTCTCTTTCTCTATTGTTTTTTTGGTTTTCTTAAGGAAACAAAATATTTCCCTAAAACGGAATTAACTATTTGGAGTTAAGTAATAGTAATAAGAGTTTGACGTGTATAACAGTATAAGGAAAGGGAAATAAAGAAGTGAAAGAGAGAGGGGCTGTAAAGGATCGACGACGTTGAAGTTGGAACTATGTTATTGGTTTTGAATTTTGCTTACTGAATTTTTATATTGGATTGAACTCTAATGTGAAATGAATTCTACCTTTGAGGCTTAAAATTACTAATTAATACATGAAATTAGAACAATAATAGATTTAATTTGTGTTGTTAAACTTCAATTAGTTTCAAATTTTACTTGAGTTGTTGAATGTTGAGTGTTGAGTGTTGACTGTAATTTGTGTTATTAGAATTGAAGTAATCGTTGTTTGGACAATTTTTAAATAAAGAAAATTTAATTGAAAGTTTTTTCTATTTTAGTCCTGTTTGGACTTCATTAAAATTATTATTCATTTTCCTTTCTTTTTTTTTATCAACCACACATTTTTTAATAAAATAATATTATATATAAATCAATATTTTTTCTTTTTTAATCACACACTCTTCCAAAAAACAACATTTCAAACATTATAATCTTAAATAATGGAGGCCAAAAGGGGACTTAGTTCATCATTACGTATGTGTCACGTTGTCAATCATAGTTAGGTGGAGATATGGGTGCTACCATTTCAAAGTAGTTGCAACAAATGGCAAGTTGGAGGTATAAGCACCACATTGACAAAAGTTTAGAAAAGTCAGGTGAAATAAAGAAGAACAATAGAAAAAGAAATAAAAATTAAAAAATATATATATATGAAATTGCTGTATAAAGAAAATAATATATAATTAATAATTTTACAAGATAAAAAGTTATTTAGAAAAGTTTTCGATAGGTTGCACAGAAGTTGGTCGTGGAGAAACAAGATTGTGTACCCATGAGTTTACACACTTGTGACTTTGGCGTTAATTTTTCCAATTGCTACTTCTAGAGTCGAAAGAGTTTTTCCTGCAAAAACACGGTATATGGTCGATCAACCATGCAAGCAAATTAGAGATTAATGGAGCCCCCTGTACATAGCTTAGTGGTGCAAAGGACATGAGTGAAACTATCTCAAGCCTTGTTGACAGTCGTGGTGTGGGGATTCGATTTTTGAGACATGAAATTGGATTCCTTCTAGACGCGGTATACATGTAACTCTTATTCCCTGACCTATTGGGGGCGCATCCCACGATTTATTTCCCTCACAAAACTCTAGGGATGGGGCAGTGGGGGCCCTCAAGGTTGGAGTTCAACCTTTTAAATTAGAGATCAATGGATGAATGACGGCTTAGTTATGTGCATATAGGGATTTCAAATGGGTCGAGCGGCTCGTTGGCCCGTCAAAACTTGGCTTGTGGGCGTCTCGGGCTCGTCAGCAGGGGCTCAATCCCAAGAGCCGAGCAGGCTCGTAAAAAAATATGAATTTTTTTTTTAAAAAAGGTTCAAAATGTGCAAATTTACCAAAATAATAATAATAATAATAATAAAAAATCACGAGCCACGTCGAGCCGGGCTCAATGAGCTCGTGGATTAAAGGATTGAGCCCGGCTCAATCCATTGCCATCACTGTGTGCATATAAAATGATGTATACGGAAAAATTGACAATAAAGTCATTATGCGCTGTTTCCAAAGTATGAAACCAATCCTAACTCCATCAATGATAACGACGAGGTATCCACGTGAATGGACACGAGTACACAGTGGACTACTTACGAAACTAGAACAATGGGAAACCTGAGTTGGCAAGGACATAATGTTTAAGATCTTCCTGCTGTTGCAGAAATTAAGAAAATTATTTTAAGGTGATTTTTGTGTGTATGTGTGTGTTCAGACTAGAATGTTTCTCAGTGTGATTCCAACTTATTCAATGTAGAAAATAATGGACAGTTTCTATGATCATGATTTGGAATTGTAGAATCACACATTGCCTCCGCACTAAATATATGTAAGACTTGTACGAATTTTTGTCAACGCCTTCTTAGGGTCGGGAAATCGCAGAGTTCAAAATGTAATTTGAACGGTGGCTTTAAGATACTGTGAAAGGTTGATCCTGCTTCTGATTTGAATTGCCTTGTTATGTAATTTTATAAGAATTAAGCAGCTGGTTTGTCAGAATATTTTTGTCATCTTGGTTAACATCCTCTCACATGCATATAAGTCTCGCGTGAATTAAAAAAAAAAAAAAAAAAAAAAAAAAAAAAAAAAAAAAAGTGGACTTTCCATTTTGAGTATCGATCATGTTGCATGGCAACCATTTTCTAACAATATAGCATGTTTGATTTATAATGGTTAAGTGTAATTTCTAAATGCATTGTTTCTACTAATTTTTGACATATTATTGACTTTTGAGGGAGCTCTAGAGATGCTGTACTTTGAGAAAGAATATGCATGATGTTATCTTTTCAGTAATAAGCTAATAAATGACAATTTTATTTTTAGTGAGAGTTGACAAATTTATTTATTATTTTATGCTCATAAATAAATTAATTTTTGAATTGTGCCTGCATGCTTTGGAAAATACTTATTTTCTATTTCTTGAACAGAAGATAAATGCAGTTTTGGAAAGTCAGCTGAGAAGCATAGAAAGTCCACCCAAACCTTGGATCTGAAGGTCAAATGCTTCTTTTCTATTTCTTAAACAGAAGATAAATGAACTTCAAAAAGATCATGGGGTAGCACATTAAGAGTATACCTAATTCAAAATCATCATGTTGCAGAATAAGTGAAAATAATCAGATGGCTACAAGACACAGTTTTGTGGTAGAAAATGATTAACAGTTAAGGCCCTGTTTGGTTCAGCTAAAAGTTGATTAAAACTTAAGTCAAATTAAATAATTAATTTTAACCATATATTTCATGGAACCCACAAATTTGAACCACACATCACATCAACTTTTATCAAAAACTAAATTTTTTTTTCTCTAAACTAAACAATGCTAAGTTTTAATTAATTAAACCAGTGTCCCCTTGCTTATTTGTTAGTTAGGTATCTTATAGATATCATCAAATGTGTAGGCCATTCACAAATCATCATGTTCGATAAGGAGAATTGGATAGCATGAAGGAGAAATAAGTTAAAATCTTATTTGTCATACTGCACTACTTTTTTTTCTGTTGCATACCAAAACGTGAATTATTCGTCTAATATTCTAATTTTTGGCAGTGAGAAGATTAATGTATCTAAAAGAAAAGCCTCTTTTATGAGGTGAAAAATCAAGAATTTCATTAGTTGATAGGGTACAAGAAGTGTTCATGAAGACAAAGGAGAAATATGTGTGTATATATATGATGAAGTAAGAAATACAAACAACATATATAGGTTCTTATTTTTCTTCACTTCTTTGTATCCCTTTCAATAATCCTAGCCTCTGTGGCCCAAACTATTTCTTTTCACCTGAAAAGGAAAGAAAAATATCAAGATAAGCATGCTAATTAAGCCCTTATTTGACCACATTTTTTTGGAAAAATTCATTTTTCAACAGTGTTTTGATATCATTTCAACCACACATTATTCAATAAAATAATATTACACATAAATCCAAAATTTTTCTTTATTTTTTAACCACACATTTCCCATCAATACACTATTCAAAAATTCATTCTTCCCCAAAAAATGGGGCTCAAACAAGGGCTAAGAACTTAATTAGGCAAGAAACTATAACATTAATATGGGAAAAGTTGCACTCAGTAATATAATTTGATCCAAATCTTTGTAAAATGTGTTAGTCACGAAAGTAAGGGGCTATTCTTTTTGGCGTTTTCTATTTTCAATTTTTCAAAACGGAGAAAACGCGTCTTCGAAAAAAAAAAATTGTGAAGAAAACACTATACGACCAATTAAGCCTTTCGATTTCTCAACATCAGTCCATGTTAAGAAGCAAAAACTAGCTTTATAAAATTTGACATGCAAGGTTCACAATTCATATTAGAATCTATTTTTGAGGACTAATTGTGCCACCACTTACATTACATGCCGTAAAAAACTTTTTACAATCTAATTTTTCTTTTATCAACATAGTCTATTTTTCTTAAAAAAAATGCACAAATATTTTTCTATCTATTTATACGGCATGGTTGAGAATTACGTCATAAATATTCACCTTCTACGGCATGTCCAAAAATGTATGGCATAGATACTTCGAGTAATTGAATTATTACTGCAGCAAAAATTTAAGGCATGCCGTAAATGTTCTATTTTTTATATGCACGCAATAAATGAATGCCATGAAAAGCTAATTTTGTTGTAGTTCACTATAATGCAACATTTAGTATCTACTTACTAATGGAGCAATATGCCGAGGATCGGTGGGGGCGATTTTCTTGATTAATAAAGAAGATTATAGTGCCGATAATCATGAAATGGTCCTATTACCTGATCTGCAGCATCCATCTTATCTTTCTGATTCATAAAATGGTTCATATAAGATATCTCCTGAAAGAAAAGAGAACAATTATGAACAATAACTGGTCAACAAACAACATAAAAACTGATCAAAAGACCAACAGTTAATGGAGACAAGCATGCAATTTTCTGACCTTAGGACTATTTACAGGAGAGCTGGCAGTGTCCACTAAATCTTCATCAACTTCTGGTCCTTTAGGTTTCTTCTTCTTTAAGTTGGGATTACAATTTTTAGAAGAAATTAAGCCTGTAGAATTATTGGGAAATCTTTTGACTGCAGAAGAAGCAGCATCTGAGATAAGAGAAGGGCTTTCATAATCAGAAGAAAAACAAGATTTTTCTCCATTTTCACACATGAATTCTTGAATGTAGAATGTCCAACTACTCTCCTCAGGAGTATTATTATCTGCTGCATCTTTCTCTGAATGGCAAGGAATGGCAGATTTCTCCATATTGGAAGAGGAAAAAAAATTGTTTATCACTCTATCTGGCCAGTTTTGGAAAAGGGTTAGAAGATGGAATTATATATTGTGAATTCAGTGTAAAAAATAATGCAGAATCTGGAATATTGGCCATAGAAAATTGAGGTAGGTGAATTGACCTACTGCAACAGAAAATTAAGTAGAGAATTTGAAGGGTTTGACCTTTGTGGTATGGGATTAGGATATTACCAACAGATATTTGCCAAATCTATTTTGTTATTCAAATCTTATTTGATCAAGTCTAAAAGAGTTGGTGTTAAAAAGTATACCTTTTCAATTACTTTAAAGAGTTTAGATGAAATAGTTACTATATATATCGAACTTAGGCTAGAGTGACCAAGAGTCATAGAATTATCAATCTAACTAGAGTCCATCTATGCAAATCGTGCACTTGACTTACCTTTGATCAAACAAAGTGCGACTTTCACCTGAGCAGGTTGTTGAATACAAATTTTAGATGAAAATATGTGGTCATTCTAACAGTTTAAACTTTTAATAATTATCAATTTTCCAAATTCTCTCTTAATTTCTTGAGAGAGGGATTTTCAAGAACAATATATAGAGAGGTTGTCCAGAGATTGATCTTCTAGATGAATATATGTGGTCATTTTCTAAACATTTAAGCTTTAAATTGAGATGACCATTAGTTTTTCAAGTTCTTTTTCTTAATTTCTTGGAAGAGATATTTCCAAGAACAACAATATATATGACTTATATATATATATATATATATATATATATATATATATATATATATATATATATATATATATATATATATATGTCTTCTTTAATATGTTCTAATTATCAAACATATCATAAAAAATTGATTAAGTAAAGAAATTCTGATAATTGAATGGAGTGACGTAATGAATCAGATAAGCAAAGCATAATTAAAAGCTTAAGAAACCGACTTATGGATATAAACAAGTATTGACAAAACAAAATGTAATTTTTATTGCCTGTTTACAATTGGCTGACATTTTATAATATTATTTTTTTGTTTGACTGAGATATATTCTCTTATATTCTAATAATTAATAAGTTTTGATTACAATAAAATCAAAGCTAATGGGAGGGGAAGAAGGATTATTTTTTGTTTTACTTTTTTTTCCTTAATGTTGTAAATACTATATGTAATATTACATAATTTTACCTGGAAAGAGAGAATTTTAGAACTGTGAATAAAGATTATTTAAAATATATTTGAGAAATCGAGCTATAATTTTTGAAACGAGAGTCTATTTATCGATAATAATCGTGTCACAAGAAAATAGAAGTATATAGTTGACTCTATCATTGACAAGTTCAAATAGTCATGCTACCCATTTCCATTTCTTTGGACACTGACATTAGAAGATGAGGATGTGCACTGACACATTGTTGCAACATAAATCTTGGTGATTTATGTTAATATCTATGCATTTACGTTATTTTCGTTGTAATAAATGTCGTTCTAAGAACATTTGTGGTGTCTACTTAGTTAAAAATCAAATTACATCGTACCAAGCATTAATATTTATGTACTTTTTGTATCTACTTATATATATAGAAACAAAATCTAGAATAAGTTTCGCTATTGTCACAATGCATATGAGTAGCTTTGTTCCATATTCTGGCTCTTACATGTGAAGCTTTGATACGAGGTCACCTTAAGCTTCATCCAAGCAAATTCGAACCTTTGAGTTTGAGTCCTCATAACTGAACCATGACACTTAAGATAGTTGAACTATCGACAAGCTTAAAGCAATAGAGGCACTTCAGATAAATGGGTGTACCAAATGAAAAACATATAAACGTCTTGTTAGTCTTGTAGGGAGCATGTGGAAAATGAGAGTCTAAGATGCTTGTGAAAGTATCTGTTTCGCGCGTGTTAATTCGCTAACAATTAAAGAGGATCAGACGATTGTGTAAGGGACGAAACCTCTTGAGACAAAGTCCCAAAAAGGGGTGTTCTTTTTATTGGCAATGAACTTTACAATTGGAAACGGAAAACAACGTGTCTCCAAGGGGCGCAAGCACACGAGTTACAGAAAAGGAAATGTTTAAGTCTAAAAGCTAAAGGAATGAAAATTACATATTCTCTGTTCGAGAGTTTTGGATTCGGTCTTTTTCTTCTAAGTTCTTTCTCCCTTTTATACTTCATAGGCGATCCCTTTGTGATTAACTGCTCTAAAAGAAACTGCTTGATCGCCCTATAACTACCCACTTTCTTTGTAGTGGCCATTTTGTCATGAAACTGTCTTTTTAACTGCTGCCATTATCTTGCATCGTTCAACCACTTTCGATTGAACCCCTTGAGTCGTGGAACGTGATAAAGTCACTTTAGCAATTGCCTCAATAACTGCATCATAATGCGTTATGTTTGTTGATACCTTGGGCGACTTGAAGATTTGGGCGAGACTCTGGACGACCGTCTGCCATTCTATTCGTTCAGACTCTGAGCGACTTGCAAACTTGGACGATGGCGTTATCGCACTATTGGGCCCATTATTTGGGCATTCACCTTGACTCGTTCAATTGGATTTCGTTCTTTGGGCTATCTGATTTGGGGATCTTTCAATTGGGCTTTACTCTCTGGGCTGTTCGATTTGGGCTAAATTTTTATGTGTCAACAATTACCCCCCAATATGGCAGAATTAATAACAATTATTAAATTTTGCCATATTCACTTCATGTCTTCAGCAACGTTCACGATTCCCAAAGAATTTCAATCATTGTTTCCTTCTATAACTTGAAAAGGTGCGTCGCTTTGCAAACCCTTATAAACTCCAAATACGCCATTTTACTGCTACGAAATCACGTTTCATATTTCTTACGCATCCTTCGCGATTCACTGTTCACCTTTTGCTTCCTTGTTACGTAATTCTGAAAAGCTTCGTTCCTTCTTCAATGGCTGCTTTACAATCTCAAGCTAGCGACTCTTTTAGTTTTGATGACATTCAGAAACTTCTGAGTCGTTCATACGTAACCCCAAGTTTTCTTGCGCCCGCCGATGTTGGACGTAATGAGTTTTACTTGGGTCCTTTCTTCAACAATGCTGAAGCAGTTGAACAGGCGGCAGTGGGTCAGCTGTTTCCTTGCACTCATGGCCCTCCTTTTCTGAATTCTTTGCCGTTGGGGCCACTTCGTGAAAAATGTATTCGCACTTGGCTCAAATCTGACGTAGCTTTTCGTAGGTGGCATGCTCGTCTTGTGGGTCATGGTCCTACTAAGGCACTTTTTGATAGCGCTAGGATTTCTGATTTGTTGGAAGTCTCTATTCGCCCCCCTACTTTTGATTCAAGCGCTTTTTCCGATTGCTTTGAGCTTTTGGTCCTCTGAGTATAACACCTTTATTTTTCCTCTTGGCCCCATGTCTATTACGTTAAGGGATGTTGGGGCCCTGGTAAATTTACC